ACCACCACTTCCCCTTTGTTTTTTTTTTGTTTTTTTCCCTTTTTTTAAATAAAAAAATCGTCTAATCAGTAATCTCCATTTTCAACATTCAAAAAAGCTTCATTCACCAGGATTATTCACTCTTGCTCCTCCTTTTCATTCATTCTCCACCTGTCGTGCCCGATTGTTGTCCACGTGGCACCGTGGAACTGGTTGGTATGACCTTTTTCGTCAGTTACCAATGATTTATTATTAATTAATAATGCAAAAACATCATAGGCTTGGTACAACCGCATATTGAGGGTTATTAGCTCCTAATACTATTTTTGACACCTATGTGGGATATTCATTGCCTGAATTTAAAAAAAAAAAACAATTTGTTGTGGCCTTCGGGGTGTACAATTAAGATTTTAAATTAATTAAGGTTGTTTTGCTCAAAACAAATTAATTAAGATTGATTAATTTATCATTGGTCGGCTATTTTGAGGCCCACAGCATTTGAAAAAATTGACGAATAAAATGTAAAATGATGGTAAATAAAAACAAAATGTTGGCTTTGTTAGGTTGAGGTCAATTCAATGACGTTAGTCGCGTTGTGTGGGCTCTCATTGCATCCCTGTTCTCCGTTTTGCCGTGGCCGTTTATTTTTTTTATTTTAAATTTTCTTTTCTCTTTTAAAGATAATAGCTTTACTTTTGTTGTTCGGAAATTAATCATTTATTTAGTTGTCTTTGTGAATTCCTTGCGTATTTTGTGTTGATGGCGTGTGGCTATATGTCTATGATGATTAATGAGCAGAAAGTTTTGACTTTCTTGTGAATGGCAGAATTTAAAATGTTTTATTATTGATCATACAATCCTTTGCCTCAGTCAATCCGAATTGCTTGTTCAAGAGTTAATTTTCAAACGAGAGAATTTTATTAAAAGATTGCCGATGTGACTTATTTGAAAATTAGGTCTAGAACAATTTAAATTTGGTCTAATTGAAATTGAATTATAAAGTAAATTGATTAAAATATACTTCTTTATTTAAATTGAACAAGACCTATAATGATATACTAGACTTCACAAGTAACAACGAGGAATTAATAAGTAATATTATGTATCTAAAAAGTCAATCACATTACTTAAAAAGTAACTTAACAAGTAATGATTTATAATAGATTAGATGTTCAACAAGTAACATAATGGCCTATTTTTTGGTTGTCATTTCTAATTCCTAATAAGTGATTGTATTAAAGTCAAGTTTTACATTGTGACCTCAAAACCTCATTATTGTTTACATGTTTGAGTCGCATGTTCAAGGGACTCGGTGTTGGTAAGTGGCTTTGATATAGGAAGCTTATAAATCGCATTTGAGGGAAAAATTATTAGACTGTTCAAGTGTGAATGAACTTAAGATAACATGAAAAATCTCACATTGAACAAAACTAAATTTAAATAACTGATGTAAAATAAAAAGAAATAACCTATAGCTTAAGCTTTAAGTTAAAATGTGATATCCTTTTATTAATTTTACTTTCCCTCTTTGTTAAATGTAACAATACAAGAAGTAATCTCCCTATTTAAATTGCATGACCATGAGCTAATTAATTAACCTTGGTAATTATTTTTTCATTTACTTTCAAAATCAATTTTTTTTTATGAAAAAAGTTTAAATAAGTCATGTCTTGGAAGCCTACTAGGGCTAAGGCATGTCTCCATACTTAAAAAGCATTTATAAGATACACTTACAGATCATCCACTAACAAAGTCCTTAATATAATCTTATGAATCATTAGTCAAATTTTTGCCAACTAGTCTAATCCTTGCTGGCACAAACTATATAAATTGATTCATATTATAATCTTTGTGATAATACATAAATAAGATAAATTATAAATAAGATAATTTTATATAAATAATATATAAAATTTGTAATAATTAATAGTATTCACAAATTATAAATAAGATAACTTATTTTTCAAGATTCACGTAATTTTACAAGTATAATTAATAAATAATGATAATATCAATGATTAAATTTTATTTATTTTACAAAGTTATTATCATTTTTTACATTTGTCTTTGTTAACATAAACTCTCAAAACTCAATCAATTAAAATTGACATAAGTAGTAAGAGCTTTTATTACTTAAATAAGTAGCTAGTGGTTTAAAGCGCAACTCGTATGTATTTAGAAATTTAGTTGGGAGATGTTTACACTTTGCCTCCTGTACCTTGAGGGAAATAATTTTAACTGTCGATGGAGTCTACTTTTTGTGCTGTCAAAAAGAGAAAAATAAACTCTTAAAACTCAATTCGCTTGAATTTTTTACATATAAATTAACAATGAAATATGATAAGTTAAACGATGACATAAAAAAAGTAATAATATATGCATGGGCGTTTGTTAAGACTTAATTAAATGTGCTAAATATCTTGTGATTAAAATTTCATATGTTAATAGGTAAATGATTAAAAAATTAATTAATATTAATATAGATTTAAATTCTATTATCAATATAAGGATTTTATTGATATGTATTGTATTATATAACTATCTTTATAAATACGCCGTGAGACTTTAACTCTAATAAATTTTCTTTTAGAGTAGAAGAAGTATGTTCTATTGATAGTAGCGATTATTTTCCTTGTGATACTAAAAATAAATGATAGATCTCTTTTAATTAAATTACTACATATATAATAATTAATATTTCAATGCCTAACCACTTATTTAAGTGATAGGAGTCTGAACATTAACATTAACTTTAATTGATACCTGTAGAATTTTAGAACCCAGCCACCAATAATTGCTTTGTTTTGGGAAGAATAATTTCAAAAATTGTTGATCTTTTGGACAATTTAAGTTTTAGAATTTATTTTTACAATTTTTAAAAATTACGAACTTTCCATGAAAAGCCCCCAAAGTAAAATGAAAGCACATGACATGAACATTTTCCCCTAAAGGTGAATGAAAGCACGTGACTTGAACATTATTTAATTTCAAACTGAAGAGTTAGAGTGGGTTGTGACCTGCCACGCTTAGCTGGTCATAGTTAGTCACGTGCATTCAACTGTCATCGACTCGATCATCGATACATCATCAATCGCTCTTCGATTTCATTATATCAAATTCTATCATAAAATTTATAATATGTTGTGTTATTTACAAGTTACAAAGCAACAGGTTTCATTTATCAAAATTTATACAATGTATGAAAATAATGACCTTTTTTTTAAATATAGATACTCAACATGTTTTGCTTTGTTGTCGTGTTAATATAATAACAAGGATTTAAAAAAAGCAAAACTAATATATAATAACATTATGAATTTATGATAACCTGCTGTAGTTATTCATTGGTTGCACGGATGCATTCTCACATTCAAATATGATCAAATTTGGCTGCTGAATGAACCTAACACAGATTTAAAAACGAGTATTAATTATCAATAATTGAAAGTATTAAGTCAATACTCAACTTTTGAGCCACGTGCTAAATTAACCCAGTTTTTCATTTTATCTTTAATATAGAGACATGTCATACTTGTATCACAAAAAAAAAAAAAGATATGTCACACCTCTGAATTATTTTGGTGGGGAGGGGAACAATATAAATTAATCTTCTTATACATTTTTATGTATTAACATTAAATGACATTTTCTATTTAATAATATAAGGACTTTCTTAAAAAGAGTCATTAAATTTATATTTTAAAAATAATATCAATAATGAACTTCTAATTGATTTTTACTTCGCTGTGATGAAAACAGTAATTTACTTTATTTGCAATTTATAAAACAGGACAATTCCATGCAATATGAGACACCTACACTTAAGATTAAGAAAACAACTTTTGTTTATTTGACCTGAATTTTTTAGAAATATATACAAATTTAATTGGCTAAAAATTAAACGTGTACAGTATTATGAAATGGAAAATTACACCACACTTTTTTGTTTAAAGAAAATCAACGTACGCCCGTATTTTTAGTTTTATTTTTATTTTGCGTGATCACTGGGTATAAAATATGTATTCAATATAGCACACGTCTACACGCAATATACTTTAAGAGTTCTATTCTATTGTTGACTTTTTTATTTCTAGAATGTATTAAAATAATTTAAACACTTAGTTTTTTTTTATTAATATTTATCTATATTACTTTTCAAATACCTACTTAAAATTCAAGTATGTTTATATTATTTATTTTTTATGTGCTCGATTTGTTGAATATAAACATAAATAGTTAAATACATATGTAAGTCTCACACACTCATATCCTTATACTTGTAAACTTCTCGAATCGTCCCCTACTTGTGCATGACGGGCAAAAAGTAGTGAAACATAACTTTTAAATTCGTGTAATATGTGCTAACACAAGTTTTTATTTAAAAAAAAAACTTACTTTGTTTCAAAAATATAATTTTTTAAGATTTCAACATACAAATTGAAGAATGGAGTTAATAAATTAATACATTAAACTAGTAATTGCATCGCCAAACTTATTCCTAATTATCATGTTGAATAAATTTAAATTATTGTAATAAATAAAGGTATACTTATACATATATATTAATAATGCTGGACATTTAAAATGACTTATAAAATAAAATAATCTTTTTATAAGAAATATTTCATTTAATTTTATTTAAAAGTTACTTTTAATATGTTGTACTAAAATTTAAAAATAAAACTTATTAGATTTATTTTAAAAATTAATAAATTTTTTATTTTTATATTAAATATAAATATTTTAACAAAATTCCTTTGGTCTCTCATTAAGTGCATTATATTAAAAATAATTTTTTTTAGAATACATCATATAAATTCGACCCTAAATAATTGATGATTGTATTAATGCAGTGTACAGAAGAGTGCACGCAGCATTCCCTACTTTGCTCATGGAATTCAGCGTTTTATTCAAACCAGGCCTCATGCCCGCGCACTCTCCCCACAATTAATCCCTTCATTTTATTATATTTTAATCAATCTTTATTCCTCTTTTCTAGATTTCTTTGTAAGAATAATACGACGCCATGACCGTTTTCAAAAAGTAGAGAGAGAGAGAGAGAGAGAGACAGAGTGTGTGTCTGAAACCAAATGAAGCCACATCACTCCTCTCTGCTCTGAAACCTTTCAATCAATCTCTACACATCCACTTACCAATTCCTTAATCACTCACTAGTCACTCGCTGCATTCCTTCATTCGTTGCCCAGGTATTTGTCTACTCCCACGCCCACTTGCTTCAAAGCTTCCACCTCCTTTTGCTTTCTGATATTCCCAAAGCTCCTCATTTTTTTTTCCTTTTAGATCTGTGCACTTTTCCGGGTAATCGATTACATACCAAATATATACGATTTTGATTTGATCGTTCAACCCTACGCGCCCTGTAGTCATCCATTCATGTATTTTTCATTGATCGTTTTCCTATCTGCAACGTTTCACTTTCACCTAATTTGAGCAACGGGTTTTGCTTTCTTTTACAGAGGATATAGGATCCGAGGCCACTTGTTTGGAGGGTTATGTTATAGCTTTTGGTAAGTTAACTTTTAAGAATGGAATTTGTGCTCATTACGGTTCCGTTTTTGAAAAAACCAATACAGAGTTTTTATTAGTAGAAGCGGCGTAAAGTTGAATGAAAGAGAAGGAAGAGGAAGCAAGAAGGGGGTTTTCCTTTTATAATAAATTTATATAAAAAAAAGTTTCATATTTTTATAAAAGCAGAGAGCGTCGGGTTTAGCATGCAGCTTGGCTCCAGTCAAAGGTAGGAGCGTCCGACAAGGAGAGCCACACCATTACAATAAACCCTTCAAGCACAGAGATATGAGGAAGCTGAAGCAGCAGCAGCAGCAGCAGCAGCTGGGTGAGCAAGAAGAATCTCAGAAGAAGGAGCGTCATATTGTGACGTGGACTCAAGAGGTCTTTCTATATTATATTCTATTTTAATCTATTTATTTATTGCCAATCCACTTCGCTATATCATATGTGGTGCTTGAGTTGCAGGAAGATGATATATTGAGGAAGCAGATAAGCATCCATGGAACTGAAAAGTACTGACTCCCTTTTCACTGTTTTTTTGGGTTACTAGTGCCACCATTTTCCTGGTTATTTGAATCTAAGGGATTTGAATTGCATTAACTGTGTGCAGTTGGGCAATTATTGCATCTAACTTCAACGACAAAACGACAAGACAGTGCAGAAGAAGGTGAGTTTTTTTGTTTTTCCAAGTTGACTGAGGTTTCATGGAATCCTCTGTTTCATCCTTTTACAGTCCAGATTTTTTTTTAAATGATTTATCGTTGTTTCAATCTGATGATGCCAAAGTAATTAGTTGTTAACATATCAGATGGTACACTTACTTGAACTCTGATTTCAAGAAAGGAGGATGGTCACCGGAGGAAGACTTGCTCTTATGTGAGGTAAACTGATGATTTGATGCCACTTCAAATTTTGGATTTCTTTCTTTTCTTTTTTCTTTTTCCTTTTTCCTTTTTCAAACCCTTTTTATGTTTTCCCCCAACTCCTACATTTACTTGAGGGATATCACATGATGGCAATATAAGATTCATTACTCATCAAAATCGTCTATTTGAGTTGCTTAGCAGATGATAGAAATTACATTTCACCAGAAACTTTTTTGTTCCCCTGTTTTCATCTAATATCATATTGCTCTACATAGGCTCAGAAAATATTTGGTAACAGATGGACAGAAATAGCAAAGGTGGTTTCAGGCAGGTAAACAAGAATCCAGTCTCCGATTCATGGAAGCATTAAATATACAATATTCCTGTTGGTGACAGTTAAGTTCAATGTAATGTTTTCTATCCAGAACTGATAATGCTGTGAAAAATCGTTTCTCCACTCTTTGCAAGAAGAGAGCAAAATTTGAAGCCTTGGCAAAAGAGAATAGCACTTCGTTCACTAATTCAAATAACAAAAGGACTATTTTCCAACAGGGTGATAACAGAGAGTCAACATCAGAGGCTGCAGCACCTACTAAGAAGATGAGGTGTGCATTACACTTATTGGTTTCAAATAAGTGAAATGAACATTCTATAAAGAACATTGATAAATATCATTCCATTTCTATTTCATTGTAGGAGAGCCCATATCCCTGACGCTGCAGAAAAGATCAACTTCGGAGATAGATCCCATAAGCAATATGAAGCAACAATAAAACAGCAGTCAAGAGCACTGTTTTCGATTTTGGGTCAGAATTTGCCAGGTCAGCATGAATCTTCCAGTGCCAAGATCAGCAGTGATGGTAATGTGTTTAAATTGGACGTGGGACTTATTCTTGCTATTGTTACTCCTGAAATAGAAAAAGCGGAAGGATTAGAATGTGACTCTTGGAGCTAGGTTATCACAGGTTTTGGAAATCATTTTATGCCAATATGACTCAGTTTGTTTCGACTTTTCAGCCCATAATTGCAAGACTCAAGGAACATTTCTTAAAGAGGATGATCCAAAGATAAGCGTGATAATGCAACAGGCGGAGTTATTAAGTTCACTAGCTCTAAAAGTTAATACAGATGATGTGGGCCAGAGTCTTGAAGACGCATGGAAGGTGAGGGGTTGGGCTGAGATTCTGACCATTGTGTGCTTTGAGTATTGAATACAACATTGCGTGGTTCTTCAAGAATGATCTTCCTGGTTTGTTATATCAAAAAAGAAACGTAACTAGCCAGGAGTCAAACCTGTTCGTAGGAAAATCATGAGAGCCATTTAACATAGCTGATATTGACTTTGAAAACTCAAATAACTTCACTATTCAGCTTGTTAGCATATTTTTTAGATACTAATTCAATTCTGCAAGACCTTAACACATTCATTGCTATGCACAAGCTGATAGTTATGACGCTCACCCAGTCAATGGGGAGCAATTGCAAATATTAGGCATTACAAGTTCCTGCTATTGCCTGATAGCAAGCGCTATCTGAATCATTTATATTGCTGATGTTATCTTTAAAACTTAAGAAATAGCTTCATTGGTCAGATTGGGAGTATACAGTCAGTGTTAAAAGCTTAATAATGATAAGTCCTGAAATTTAATTATGTATCACAAGTTGTGGTCCCTAAAGCTCAGTTCAGGAGCATATAAAGAAAAACGTAGTTGTTCATATTCTTCCAACATTTTTTGATGCTTTAAAGTGATGATGCTAGGTTCTTCAAGAGTTTCTGAACCAAACCAAAGAATCAGATATTCTTAAATATAAGATTTCAGATTTACAGCTCGTAGATCTTAAAGACATTATGGAGGAATTTAAGAGTAGTAATGAGGGGAGCCAGCAATGTTGGAGGTATTTTTAAGTATTGAAAATTTAATTTAATGCAGGCTCAACCTGTAGTTTTTTGGGGAAAAAAAATCTAATAGTTCTTAAATTTGTTAAAGGCAACCAGAACTATATGAAGACTCTCCAAGCAGTTCTGAATACAGTACAGGATCAACTCTTCTGCCCCATTCAGCAAGTGATAATCTGGAACACTCTCTGCTTCAGGATATTGGAACTGACCTAAAGCCTATCCAACTTGGAGATCAAAAAAGAGTTAGTGAACGTGGGAAAGAAGATCTCTCTTCTGCAACTATGGGTCAAGGTAAGATAACCCTGGGCCACTATAAGGGCAAATATTGTTTTCTAATTTGTGGCAAGCTAATGTTGTCATGAATCATAATTGGCAAATAACATATTTCTTTCAGTGGCAGATATCTTCCCATCTTGTGAGGAACAAATAAGCAATGATGGCATTGCTTCTACCTCATCAAGCACAGAGTTCAATTCCCCAATTCAAGTTACCCCTATGTTCAGATCTTTGGCTGCAGGAATTCCCAGCCCCCAGTTTTCAGAAAGTGTAAGTTACCCATGCACTTTGAAAACGTTTAACAATCTTAAGGTCCAACAGCTAAATTATGGTAGCATTGAGTTGTGAAGATTATAACAATCCTCGTAAAACTATGGGAATTTGGGAGACAAGTGAACCCTTTTGTCAACTGTAGTAATTCTAATAGTTCTTATATAGTTTCAACATTAACTGGCAGCAAGGCTTCCAAAATGCTGTTTTGTTATTAGGTTACTTGAGTAACCTAAGGGTCATTTTTGGCAGTAGCTATAGAGTTGGCTGCGGATGGAATTTATCTGTGAAAATCGTCAATATTCGCGCAACAAGTAATGCAGTTGCCTTATCACCCTTAGGATTTAGAATAGTGGAATCAAGATGATTAATTAATTATTATTACAACTGGAAGCTGACTTAAATTTGTCTACAAATGTGCTTATAAAGCAATCAAGTCAAATAAGACTGACTGGAAATGTTTCTGCCTTGCCAGAACAATATGCAGTTTGTTCTGGCCATACATTAGGTTTTTTGTTCTTCCAGTTCAGATAAATTTTAAAGGGAGGTAAATTTTCCGGTGACACTGAAGCTCTGCTTTTTGAATCTGTAGCTTAACGGATCTCGTTGACGAAAATATTTTATTTATCTTACTAGTACAAAAGTTTCATTAAGACTTCCTTTTTTTTTTTTGGAACACCCAAACAGTTTCTTTCAAAAACAATCTTTTTTTTTTTTGCGTAAAAAAGTATATCTTATTGTAAATAAATAAGGAGTATTTCAAATGAATAAATTACACTCATGACTCATTGCTTTTAGTCCCAAATAAAGAACAATTACGATAATTTTTGTCACAATGGTGTAAACCTATGGTTAAGTGCTCACTAATTTTGCTTCTAGTTTCGGATATGTTGATAATCTAAATGAAGAAACTGATTTATTTCCTTGTAAACTATTGATTAAAAATGTGGACAAGGGAGACATTTACCTGGCTTAGGGTTAGCCTATAACACAGAAAATTACTAAACCGAGAGAGAGAGAGAGAGATCAAGACGTCATATTAAGTGACAAGAGTGTAAGCTGTTGAGTATTATCCCCATCATCTCCTTATAAGATTGAAGGAGTGTAAGCTGTATGGTGTATGTAACTTTGTCTATTCTGCTGAGCTACGTGGATAGCATGTTACTATACTGCTGAATGGTCAAAGGTATTATTGCTGAGGTAGTAATAGAGTTTCACATCTAGTGTACAGAACAACATAGTTGGGAGGGGTCTTGATCTTCCCTTTGCTCTCCATACCTTAAGGGAGACTAGTCTCTGCTATAACGGAAGATTCTCTTAATCCCACCAAAATAGAGTTTCACATCTCAAATATGAAGCAAATTCTTTTCTTACTCATAAAAATATGTTGCATACACCCTATTATATTATGAGCAGGGGTGTTTATCAGCTGATGTACTTGGAATTATTCACATGAAACTTCCATTGTACTATTATCAGTAATCTTTGACTCAACAGTACGAGACACGTCCCAAAAGTTGAAGAATCTGCGTTAATATCCCAACGGAAATAAAATTACAAATACAGACACATGCACTTGTGCATATCTGTTTTTTTCCCCCCAAATATATCGAAGTTTGTTGTACGACTAACCCCTTGTTTCTTCTTTCTTTGACAACTTCTGCAGGAAAGGAACTTCCTAATGAAAACGCTTGGAATGGAGTCCCCATCCATGAACGCCGGTGCCAACCCCTCACAGCCACCACCTTGCAAAAGAGCCCTACTACACAGTCTATAATCTAATCCCTCTATTCAGTTGGTAATGGACAAATCAACACTCCCTTTCCCCTTCTAGGTTCCTTTCTCCCTACCCTTTGCAATTCGGACTGAGTTCTTTGCTTGGTTTTGAGATGAGATCCATCAGATTGCAACCTTATGGTCTTAATGATCCTAAAATTTTGAAGGCACCATCCTCTTCCCCTCCCCAAGAATGCTCTGGTGCGTTCTTGTGAAAATTAGACATATCTAACAATGTCATTCCTCCATACCCCACCAGTCAGACTTACCTTTTCTTTGGTAGTTGCACTAAAAACTAGTTTGCTTAGTGTGTGATTATTTGGCTTGTTTTTCTCTTGATACCATTCTGGGTTTGTTTTGGTTCAATCCAGCTCTTGGTCATGATTTGTTTTTTTGTACAGAGTCTGCTATGTAAGCAGCATTCATCCTGAGTGTGTATACACCGGCTCATCGCCTATCCTATTCAATATATGAACAGAAACAGAAATAGAAGAGAGAGAAAAAATTAACCAATGGCAAATTGGATTCCTATTTGTTGTTTTGGGTGTGCATAAAGTATAGAATAATATATATTTGGATTTTGATGTACTGAAACCTCATAACAGTTGGAGTGGAAATGCATTTTGGTTTTTGGCGTGCATTTACTGTTTCTGTACTCTCTTTACTTTTCTGGATTAGCTCATAACAAAAAGTGAAGAACATCTCTGTAGAAGAAGAGTAGAGTTTCGCATGGACTCCACCACCCCCGTTTTCCCATAAAGAGGATAAAAACGAAAGATAAAAACGCTAGAAAACCATAGAATCATAGGAAGCCTATGTCAACCAACTTATTGATGTTCTCTCTTTCACACTCTTCTGCAAAAGACACAAATATTCAGCCACAAAAACTTTCATATTGTGTTTGCAAAAAACCAATAGGAACTTAACAAGAAATGAAGAACGAAATGAAGGGAACTTACAGACAGAAAAGCTCGTACTCTGGATCTGGCAGAGGCTTGCAGACCCCTCTCTCTCTCGCGCACATGGGTACATGGTTTGTTCGCCATGGAGTAGTTCAGTGAAGAATTCTGGGAGAAGTTGGTTGTTATTTAGTAAGGAACAAGAGGTTGTGAGAGGTTAACGGTGGTGGAAGACAGAAGGCATATCATATAATAATGACGAAAGCAAAAGTAATTGGTTAAAAGGAAGCGAGGGAACTCTCCTCAAAATAAAGTTACATTCATTTGTCCCTTCACTTTATCAACGGAAGGTGCACCACCTCTCCCCACTTTCCATTTACTTTCATTTTATCTTGCCCAATAGATTTTTTTTTTTTAAAAAAACAACTGATATGTCATATAAAATCTATAATCACATTATTCATAAATTACAGATGGTATGGCTTTTTTTTAAAATATATATATGTATATATAATATGAGAAAATGTATTTAGTACTACTTATATTTCACATACATTTACCATTGGTTTAAGTTCCCATATTTCGAATAGAGATATATGTCAGTCAATGATGCAAGTAACGAAAGCAATCATTCTTCTAAAACCTTGACTTGTCTGTTGTCATCCCTACCACTTTCTCCACATGGATCCATATTGTACAGTAAATTCACATTTCAACATTAGTGCCTAATTCTTCGTATTAATTGTTTTAGAGGAGTGGAAGGGTGAGACCTCAGAATGTGATGCCATTCAAACTAACCCTGAAGTTTATTTAAGCAGAATTGAATATGTTAATCTGGAAGATGTCATTACTTTGACGCGATAATGTTGGGATAATCTCAACCCAACAAGAATCAGACGAAATAGGTAATTAACTTGAAGATTAAATCTGGAAGTCATGTTTACAATTACAGACCGTACAGCTCTACTATAAGTTACAAGAAGCAACTAATAATAACCGGAAGCGAATAAGACGACACTGGCCCCAAATTGCACGGCTCAAAAACGGAAAAAGAGAAAAAAGCAAAAATAAAACTCTAAGTATAACGACAATTGGCTTAATGCACCTTTCAAAAGTAAAGGAGATGATAACAAGGAGGTTGAGCAGGTGAGCTGAAAAGGGTCAAAAGGTATTAACGTTTAAATTCAAGATTGCTCAAGGATCTCTTTTTTCATGTCGTCTTTCTCGTCGTCTGAGATCTCAGCAACTTGTGCCATTTGAGGTAGATCTGGTAAGACAATCCAGAGAACACCATAAAAACGCATCTCCATTGCATGGATGACAAGGGATTCCCGCTCATTAATGACGAGACTACAATGCTAACAAACTTGCGAGTGGTGGTGATGGTGGTGTTTGCCAAAGATCCAAATCGGCTTATCGTCAAAAAGACGAAGTTCTGGCCCACCGCACCACAGCAACAATATAGAAGAATATCCCATGGTGCCTCTGGATGCTGTCTGCAAAAGCGGATTGCCTCATATCCACGCCCGTAAGGCAACACAAACATGTATATCATATTGTATATGGTGCCCCACAAATTCATGCCCAACATTATAACCCAAGCACTTGTTTTTGGGTACCTGAGCAACACAAATCAAAACTTTAAAAAGTAATTACCATAATAATTTAATTTAACATCAACACATCAAACAGAAACTCAAATATTTAACTTAGCAAATGCAACAGACAGTTCAGTGTTTCCCGCAACAAACATCGGAGATGTACATATAACAAGCAAAAGAAATTATACATATCAAACATGTCCAACCAGAGATAATATTAGGGGCAATATTGCCAACATCCAACCAGATATCTCAATCTCATAGAGGTAGAGATAGAAGAGAAAGCCAGAAGAAAATATATAGGTATGCGTTTTAAGCTGCACAGGCTAGACCAGCCAGCAAGTTAATCAAGCAAGCCTCAAAATCTGTTCCAATCAGTTTGGATGCCTTCTTCCGCACTGTATTGGATTTCCCTTTGACAAAATCATTTCATAACTTCTTTTTTCTTTTCCTTTTTTTTTTCCCAAGAAATTTCTTTCAAATAATTAACACAGAAGAGCCGCTAAAAATGCAGTTTTACACTCATGACACAAGACACGAGAGGGAAAGAAACAAGCAGAACAAAGAGAGAAGCTCAGTCGAATTTGGATAGCCATATGCCAAATCAATACATGGAAATGCTTTCCCTTCCATTACCTTGCTTTTAAGGAATCCTGAGTAGCATTTGTAAATCCATCAAAGGCAAGATTCAGGAAACATAGCCCATAACCGAGGGGAGCATTTGGATGTGCAAGCTTTTTGATAGTCTTGGAGCTTGTCTGCAAATCAAGCACGAAGACATAAGAAACTGTAAGATGGAGCTATATTCATGGTTCTAACCTGTTCTTCCAAGAAATGGAGAACAACACTGCGGCAAAAAAATGTAAAATCATTCGCTTGGTTCTTCTAAGAAGTTCCTAACCTTTAGAAGTGCAAATGTCGATACCCCTCCAGCAACAAGGAATGAACAAAGGTATTCCTGAAAAGCGTATCTTATAACATAGACAATTGCACCCATCAGCATGACTGCATGACGTAAAACAAATAACATGGTAACATTTAAATTGTAGAGTACTTTACATAGTAACAGATGCAACTGGAGTAAAACGGAAAAAGTAGAAAAAAGAGAAGGCAAAGCACGAACTACCGACCTGGAATCATTTTTGAGGACTTGGCAAGGACCTACAAGTAGTAAAAATAACATTATGACGATGATAATCAAAATTAAAAGACAAAAAAAAAAAAAGAATAAAAGAGGCTATGAAAGAAATTTGAATAAGACCATACCTGCGCAGGGTAACTAATATATTTCAACGCTTCAATTCCCATTGCTGGGCCAATTGTATTAGTAATGCCAGCACTCCAGTAAGACCACCAAGGAGCACCATCAGAACTTTCGCCGGACCATATCTTTATCACTGGTGTAATAAACCAATAGGGTCAAAAAAAGAAATATTTACAAACCACTGTACGCAAATTATAAATAGAAGGAGCAATTGGAACATAAACTCACTAATGTATGACCAGAATAAACATACTACATTCTGCGCCAAGTTTAGAAATGCAAGGTGCTTAAACCTCTGGCCATCAGGACCAAATTGCTTGGTCGACCTACATATGACGAAGCATGAGATACATTAGAATGTTAACTTAGAAAGCATGCTGCAGAAACTCACATGTGGATTCAAATAAAACTTAAAGAAGAGATCGAACGTATCAACGGCAAATTAGGAAAAGAATAATCTGCACTGACAGAGTTTCCTGGAGAAAGCCCTGGTAGATATAGGCAGATCCCGGCTATACAAAACAACAAGAGTAATACACAGCGGATTCCGGCGCCGTGAGCCTCCATCAATGCCCAACAACAAGCCGCCGGTTTCTTTCTGCAAGATTGCCTTCTGGCAGAACGGAAGGGAACAAGGGAGAGAAGAAGGAGAAAACGACCGTGTTTAAGGGAGGCGACGTCATTATGTCGATGAAGGGAAGCGCGGCAAGTTACGCAGAAATTCCACGTGGTGACATATGATTGGATGTGTCCGCGCAGTTCTCCAATGAGAGTGGCGGTACCAAGTCGTAAGTTTTGCCCGGCAAAGTTCTCTTGATCTCCACCGTTCAATCGAAAGCACCTTCGTGGAGCATCTTAAAAATTATAGTTACTGAATTGTCGATAGATTTTACTTCTATTACTAACCCAATTCATGAGGCTAGGAATTAGTGAGGCTAAAGAATGTACTAATATTTTGACCAGAATTTAGGTGAGTGTAATTTATTAAGACTAATGCATACTTTCAAATTTAATGAACACTTGCGAAAATAATATAAATTAAATTCTTGTTAATTGGATTAACTTTTTGTTGATATATGTTTGATGGTTGAATTGTTGCTTTGGGAGGGACTTCTTGGAGCTTTCCGTCTCTACACTTTTGTCTGGCCCAAACTCGGCTCTTAAACTTTTCTTTTGGGCCAAGTTTCCATCTCCGTCACATGATGTATATTTTTCCTCAAACAATTCCAGTAAAACATATAGTACAAGATTAATTGAGAATAATAAGATTGCGAAATTGGAAAAAAAAAAATGATACTAGTTCGGAATTCATAAATTCACCAAGTGGAGCCAATAGTGAAGGTCGTTTTTTTATTACATGGGCTGGCAACTAAGAAGGTCTCTGTCGCCATTATCACGTTATGGCATAAAATATTAATACGATTATCAAAATTTGGTTTCTATAATTGGTCATCTGTGCTCTTCACGCTACAGTTATTGCCAACGACTTACGAGAATTATACACTAAAATATATAAAAAAATAAAAGATAAAGATAATAATCAACATGATAATATCAATGATTCAAAGAAACTTGTTAGATATTTTAAGTGGAAGACTACCCTTAGATTGGAGATCTTTTCCCACTATATGCCTTTTGGAATGATGGGCTCTTCGTACAGTGACGTGAGCATGTCGAATGATTGCCAGATTGGGATCTTCCTTAACGATCAATTCTTACATGGGTTTATGCTCAGGAAGAATAATCATAATTGAAATCAGTTTTTGCCTCTATGTCTTCGTGTTGCATTATGGATTGGTGAGTTTACAATTTAAGCTCAAATTATAGTCCTTTCAATTTGAGCTCGAAAATCAATTGCTTTAAGAGAAATTACTTTAAGAAGTCCTCTCAAGCAAGGAAAAAAGGAATATTGTATTAGCCTCTAATCCTTCAAATTGGTCTCTTTTCTTTTGGATGTTTATTTTTTCTCCTTAGTTTTGCAATGTTTATTCTGTAACTTCAACAGTTTCTTGTAGATTTTATGTTTTATGTTTTAGTGTATATTGCTTCTTTTGGGTTGGGGGGGTGATTGCTTCGATGAAATCTAGAAAAATATCAAGCTTTTTTCCTGGGCTAAGGTTCAGTAATTATTTGTAGACCCTAAACTTTATTGGCTCAAGTGTCTGTCTCTGAGTGCTCATGCTTGTAAAGTCACTCACACGACAAATGAGGATTAAATCTAATAAAAGGGGTTAAAGTTCGAATTCTTGTCCGAAGAGACGCTCACATGTATATTCGAAGGTGTCTCGAACAGTATTGTTTTTAATAAGAAAATATCTTTAGCTTTTTTTTTTTTTAAGTCTCTCACAATTCTTTCATTAATAAACTTTTTGGCTCCACTACTCAATACTCCAGCATAGAATTGACTTGTGGCAACAATCTACGGTGGGGTCTGGGGACATCAAAACTGGTTTTAGGGCTCAGATCAATACCATTTCTGGTTTCTGGATTTGGTCTTGAAAATGTTGTTGTCATACTTAACAACTAGTAGTGAAACATGTAAAATTTAAAAAAAGAAATCT